GATGCATGAGGCTGTTAGTGCCTCCTGAAGCAATTAYCTGTAAAAGTCTTGTAGTGGAGATCAGCTTCCACTGGGTGGTGGCCAAGGCTTGTTTGAGCAGGAGGAAGTCAGGAGGCAAACTTTCTTTAGTATGGCTTGTATTTCTTCTCTTTTGGGGAGCAGTCAGATCTGGTTATATTTGCTTTGCTCCTTTTCATGTCAGGGAATATGTTTGCCAACAATAAACAAGTACTTGATTGGTTTTTTGTTTTTGTTTTTTTTTTGCTTGTCTCCCTCTACTTCCATTGCTCTCCTTCCTCACCTGTTTTTCACCCTTTCTTTGTTGTTTGCTTATTTTATGCTATACTGCATAGAAGCCAACTAARTCACTACCTTTCTTTTAAAGGAAAAACAGAAAATCTATAGTTCCTGCTCTGTAAATTCTGATACAAGTTATTATAATGCTTGTCTTTGGGAGAAGGCAGTAACTAAATGGTGTAGAAACCTGCTCTGTTGAAGGAAGGAAGGAGAGAAGGATGAGATATCCATATCTCACAGGAATACTGGCAACCTGGGAAAAATCTGATTGCCCAGATTGCTTCAGAGGACTAAGGGATATTTTGATGATTGTGGAGGTCAGAACAAGTCAGCTGAACTAGACAGTTTTGTCTTAATTTCTAGTTTTAAAATGCTTTCAATTCTTGYATGTAAACATCACAGATTGTATAGAACAGTATTTGTTCCAAAAGTACTTATTGTGGAATTTAGCAGTTTCTCCATTTCTCAGACAGATATGTCCAGACAGTGAATTAACTCAGATTTTGGATCAACAACACAAACAGATACTCAGTTGAATTTCCTCAATTGAAAAACACCCAGATAAAATTTCTCCGTGTTCAAATCTGAGGAGTTTGAACAGTGTGTTTAGCTGAAGTAGTAAAGGAGATGATTGAGAGCTGTGTGTGGGGCTTTAGGCAGATTTGGAATGGAAAAATGGTAGATAAAAGAAATGTGGCTAGAAAGAATCAGTGCTTTTGCATGCTTGTCTGGCGAGCTGTTTATGTACCTCTTCAGGTAGAGATGTTTGTTGTGACTTGGTTGATTTTGTTTGCTTTTGCATTATGGTTTCTTCTCCTCAGCTTTTTGCTTTTATTATCTTTTTTCTTTCTTTCTTGCCAGCATGCAGCATTGTGGGCTTCTTGCTGTTATTGCTGTTAGTGGACTGCACAAAACATTCCTATACACAGTTGGCATGCTATTTGTGCATTTGGGGAGTGTCCTGTTGTAGTCATATGCATGGTGGTAATTTGGTTATCCTCTACTTGTTTAAATTTGTGAAATTTTTTKGAATTTCAAGAGCTTTTATTTATTTTTTAAGTACTTGTTTTCACTGGAATTGGCAACTCTGTGCATGTGGGTGTATGGATGTTTATGTATGATTTGTACGCTTAGAATTAAGTATCCACTTTGCAGTTTCAGAATAATTGCATTTAGAAGGTGGTTAGTTTGCAGGATGTCTTTTTGCTGCAGCGTCATAGATCCTTACCCAAATCCTTTCCTCCCAGTGCTTTTTATGGCAGGGAGTGATCAGTGCTGGAGCAGCTTTGAACCAGAACAAGGCCTGTGCTTTGTAGCCTTGATTATTGAGTTGGTCCCTCCAGCAATGTGGCCTTGCTCAGTTCCAGAAGCAGATGTGGGTGACTAAGCAACCAGTGCCACTTGTTTTTGTCCAAGGTCAAGTTAAACCAAGTTCTGTAGAAGCCCTGTGGCTAAAATTCAACCTGTGTTTCTTCTTTTCCCCACTGAGCCTCGTTCCAGACATTCTCATTGTTCTGTGTTTTGTTTTCACTGAAAGCATTAAGCTCTGGGGTTACCAGCCTATAAACATGGTATCATGCTGTTAAAATGCAAGGGTTTTTCTTCTAAATGAACTATTGTCTTGCAATGCTTTCCTTGTTATTCAGAACGTGAACTAATGTTGAGTTCAAACAATTTCACTTACAGACATGGCTAGATTTCTCACATAGTCATTTTACAGCTGTGATTCATGTTACAGGATACATCATCTCGACCATGCAGCCCACATATGCCTGGTTGTAGTGTGTTCCTTTACCTTGAAATGAGGAGGAGAGGTGACACAAAGCTGCCTCGGTAGAATTCAATAAAAATGTCTGCAGTATTCTCACTTGGGTTTATTAGTGCTTAATGGTAATTAGGAAACCCTAAGTGTGTGAAATTAAAAACCAAAAACCTCACACAAACCCCACCTTTGTTGTGCAACCAAGTATATTTAAAGGATCCCCTGTTGCTCTGTAGGCATTTCTTAGAGTAAAAGCTGTGAGAAATCAGTTCATACTTTTGATGACCGTGGGCAAGTGAAGGAAGCATTGCAGCTACCAGAGAAACTGGTCTTCAGGTTTTTATATATATGTAACTAGAATATTTTAGCTTCAAGTGTGGAAGAAAGAACACAATTTTTCTAAAGCATATCTTGCATACAAGGATGGAAATAAAGTAATTTAGAGATGTTGCAGAGCCATTTTCTTATGTTGTGCCRTAAGTACTTTGGATCTCCTGGAGGCTATAAATAGATTAGCAGTTTATTGAGACTAGTTCTGTATGATTTAGATGCCAAGTTTTTGGTAGGTATTTTGTACATACCAAAGTATTGTTTCCTAATTCAGTCTTCRTGCTATTTTCACATTTAAGTTTACTAAGACTGAAAGCACTGCAATCTATAGTTTCAATATGAAGAATATTTRTTATGTGCAAAATTCACTTTTATTTAGAAGACAAGATCTTCAGCTTTGCCTGACCCTGTATTTGAGGATGCAGACAGAATTAAGTGATAAAAATGCCTCTTGCCAAACTGAAGCAAGTTTAGAAAGTGAACTCCTGTTCATAAAGACTAAAGGACAGTTTTGGAGAGCCTGGTGCAGCAGTGTGTGTATTGCAGAGCTGTTAAATCACCTATTCACAGCATCAGTGCAGCTCATTCCTCTGTCCCCTCATCTGTTCTTCCAGTGGTGGAACACTCCCTTCCTGGGGAGTGCAGGTCTGAGAGCCCTGTTCCAGATTTTAGCCTGATTTGGGAATAGTGGGGACCCATATGGGAAGAGACCAAACATCAGATTTGTAATTCCAAGAGCTGCTCGTTGGAGCCTAATGCTGAGGCCCAGCCCCACCGTGTATGCTGTATGTGAACTCGGGTTTCTGAAGTTATTTCAGAAGCAAAGGGTAGGCTTCCATATGACCTCTGGCTCTTGTGAAGAAAAATAAAGAAAAGAGTAGTTTAATTGTTTGGCAAAACCAGGCTGTTTCCAATAAGTGGTTTTATTTAGTTGTGTTGTCGTGACACACAGCACCATTGTGTTCTTCTCTGCTGTCCTCCTGCTATGGCCTGGCTGGCTCAAACTCTGAGTTTTCATTTAGTTTATATAGCAACTGATCCATGCTGGTAGTTTGTTACGCTGTTATAATAAATAACAGTGACCTTGGCTGCTGGCTTTCCTCAGTGTATCTGTATCATGAGCCACTCATCAAAGACTGAGCTCCTGCTCCTGCCTGTGTAAATGAACATAGCTCACTTGTAACCMCAGCACTTGTCAGGGAGAGACATTTATGTGTATTCACTCCTGTGAACCCATATAGACAAACAAAAAGAATTTAAATTACAAATAGCTAGAAAGGGAGGTGCTGACTCTCTGATCTCTGATGGGAGGAGATTCTATAGTCCTTGCCTTAGGAGGAAGCAGGGATTAAACAAAACTATTTTACCAACAGCCATTTTATTTAATTTATTTTGCATAGCATTTAAGCAAGGGTAGCCATTTTTTTTTTCCTCCTTACAACAGAGCTTCTGCTTTATAAATAGGTACACAGTGAATAGGATTTGTTTGGTAATGCTGACTTTAAAACTTCTGTTTTTTTTAAATGCTGAACATCAAATGAATTAAATCTAGATTAATACATTTAATGAGAAGTRCATGACCTTTTCTTCTTATAATGGGAAAGTAATGGATTACGCAATTAAATAAGTTATATGAAAGTAGATATGATAAAAGACACTGGCTGCGACTATGAAGGGTGTTGACTGCTAAGGAGAAGGGTTGCAGTAGAACATTTGATGTGAATTGTTCTGTGAGCAGCATCAAGCCATGAAACACTTCTTTATTCTTTCTGTATGTCAGTGTGGGTTGCTCTGGGTCTCCACACAGCTGATGTCTGTCACTGGCTGTTGCAATGTGCTGAGCTCCAGTCTGGGAGAGCTTTTCATTTATATCTTTGTTCAGTAAATGATGTCCTTGTGTTGGGCAAARCCCAGCCATGGAACGCTCAGTTGAAACCGTGATGTAGCCAGTATTGGTGTCAGCTTTGCTTGTTCTGTATTGATAAAAAGCTGAACTGAAAAAAAAAAGATTCTGTGTAGAGCCTTTTTTACTGGAGGTTTTTAATACTGAGGATGAAATTTCTGGGCAGGGAGAGTTTTAGGGGGAATGAGGATTGTGGTTAATGAAGAGCTCTCCCCAAAAACTGAAGTGAGAGACAGTCCAGAGATGTCTGCTGGGAACTTCRTGCATGTGAGGGAGCAGCTGATAGTGTGGCTTGCCAGACATGAACATTAAAAGATGAATGAATGGGGAACAGTAGATTTTAATTTGCAGTTTTAAAGTGGATAAAGTAGTTTGCTTAATATGACAATGTGAGAATGCTTCCATACAGAGTAGGTGCTGTAAGCAACATGTCATCTAGGAAAATGATTTTTTTTTCAGAAGTGTCATGATGGAACCAAAGCTTGGTAAGATTGCATCAGCTGTAGGAAGGAATAACCGGTTGGGATGAGAGGCTACAGAMAATCTGTGTTCCATGTCAATGTACAGAAGAAACTTTGAGGTGTTCAGCAGAATGGTGACCCAGAGAGAGGCTCAGTTAATTTGTAGCTATTTTTGCTTGCATGACCAACAGATCAAAGAAGGCTTCTGCACAAAGGTRAACTTAYSTTATWYCTGTTCTTCTTTTAGGTAAAGAAGATGAATTTCCAAAGAAGCCATTGGGGCAGATTCCATCAGGACCTCAGCCTTCTGTGCTTAATTCCACTCCAGTGCTTAATGGACAGAACAGCACTGGTACACAAGCAGCAAGAAGGACAGAGAGACCACCATCCACAGAAGAAGAACCAGAAACTTCACCAAATGACCGAAAAAGAATTAATTCTGTGGARAAGAAACCTTCTTTAAAACAGCAGAAGATTCGACCAATAGAGACACAAAACAGTTTGCCTAAGAACGAGGTAGATACCAGAAAAAAGCCTCAGCCMATAGAGCAAGACAACTCGAGTCTATACAATAATGCAGCTGCTAATCAAAATTCTAATGCTACTTCCAATGCAAGAAGGGAATTTGTACCTAAGTGGAATAAACCATCTGATATCAAAATAATGGAAAAGACAATGAAACTCACKGCAGAAGTGAAAGGGAGGCCAGTAAACCATTCGGTTTTGGGCCCACCACCAAGTCCTGAAGRAATGCAGCCTTTGAATGTAAAGCAAAAGGTGAGGGTTTTGGATGCTGATGAAGGTAAGCGAGGGTCTAATGCATCTCAGTATGACAATGTTTCAGAGGATGAAACTGAGAACGAGAATCCTGTTGAAGAGATGCTTGAGAGAACTCATCCACAGAGTCCTAGGCACGTAGCATTTCCTAACAGTCCAAGAAAGCAAACAGAAAAAATACCAGCTCCWTTAAAAATACCCAATAATTACACCTTCACTTCACAACCCAGATCTCCAAAATATGCATCTCAGTCTGATGTTCCACCTCATGGACTGAATGTAAAACAGCCACTGCCAGGTTAYAGTAATCCCCCTATTTACTATGGGAATTCTCCAAAGCATGTTTCCAGTATAGGAAATGCAAGTTCTGCACCTCTGCATTACCATGGGAATCGAACCAGCCCCTCTGGAAGGCCCTACCCGCCTTTTATGTCAGTAGATTATTCCACAAATAAACTGCCCATGAATTCCTATCCTACCAKTCGCCAAAATCCCCTTTCACCAGCCCCTGGTCAGACAGAAGTCGCTCCTGTTGATGCTTACACCAGCAACTCGAGGTCCTCCCCGGGTGTCAGGTTCATAATCCCACCAGTGGATTATTTACCAGAGGAGAGAAAGTGGCCAGACACCACCTACATCTACAGACACGAACCCTACAGGCAGCCCTGGAGCCAAGACCTTAACAAAGGCCACTTGGATCATTTCCAGAAATACCAGCATTTTCAGTCAACACCTTTACAAGACCACAGTCTTCCTGCTGTTTCCATGGATAGTCCAGTAAGATTCAGGACTTCACCAGCCTTTGAAGAGAATGGTTCGCCACAGTATCAATATTCAAGCCCATCAGCTCAAGCCCAACAGTATCGGAACAGAACTGATGGATTGTCTRTGCATGAGTCTGTGCTTCTCTGAGAATCTGGCTGTGCTTAGTAAAATGGCAAGAACCAAAACCAGTTGAACAGTACTGTGTTAGTAGTAGTCCACCTCAGTTCTTCTCTGAAAAGTGGTTCATGTGAGTTTAAAAATAACTACACTGTTTCAGAGATATTTCAGACTTTGGTTTGAAGGCTGGTGGAGTTCTTGGACTTGCATGGAAGTGATCTAATGCACATAGACATAGCAATAAGCTCATATAYGCCATGTGGTTCATGCTGTCATCGCTCCTTACATTGAAATAACTTGTGTTACAATCCTTCTGCCTAAAACCTGTAACACACTTAAAAGTTTAATTTTGACTGACATTGTTAATGCACTGTACAGATGTGTGTGTGTGTGTGTGTGTGTGCACCTGTGTGAGTGTGCACTTACAGTACACAAATTCATATGGAAAAGAGCTAAAGAGTTTAAATGTAAATACATTTAACTTAGGGCAAAGCTCGTGAAGTACTTTTATTTCATATTAATTTTTCTTTGTAATTTATTTGAGAAGCCATTCATTTTGAATGGARATTTCTGTCATTTTTATACAGCTGCCTCAGCATCCCAGTATCTGTTCTGGGCAGGAGAGATGCTTTGGGATTATTAATTTAATCTTATGTGAGAGTTAATTTCCTCKCCTTTGACTACTGTTTGTCATTTTCCTCAGCAGGAAGGAGCAGGCAGGCAAAAGCAGAAAGCCAAAAATGTCTCTCTAATCTGGCTAAGAAATGGTGCTTAAAATTCAGGGCAGTGTTTAGGGTTTCTTTAGGTGCATGGAAGGTGTAGAATTTTTACCTTCTCACCCAAATCTACCTTCAGAATGTTGTTCTATATGCAAAATACTGGAGCACAGTGAGACTAATGCCAGATACAGAAATGGTGCTGCACCCTTCACTTTTTGCCATGCTGTGCTGTCAGACTAAAACTGGTTGCAGGGCCAAATCTCACAGGTATCAGAGAATTGCACAGCTCCTTGACACCTCTGTGAAGGGCACGCAGGAGTGAGCTTTGCTTCAGGCTTGATATTCCCCAAGCTGTGTGAGTATGCAGTGTCCCTTCTCTTAAGCTTTGTCAAGTGGATTCCRTTGTGTTTTGCCCTTTTTCCCCCCAAACTGCTGGGTTTGTGTCTGTGATGGGCCGTGTGCTGTCGGGCTGCTCACATTTCGCGCTGTTTTACACTAAAATGACCCTAACTGTTGTTAACAGGAACCTTAAACTCTTGCTGATGTAATTCTAATTAGTGTTTGCAGCCTGTTCTACTTTGTGTTTTCCTTTGTCTGACTGTGAAYTGGGGGTGGAATTAAAAGCAGGTGAAGTGGCACATGTAGGATGTAGTCCTGTGAGCGGCAGGACGCGCTGACCTCTCGCTGGGAGCTGAGGCAGAGGAGGGTCTCACCAGAAGAGGTCCTTGGAGTGCTGAACAGAGAGATTTCTCTAATACTGAAGTACTAAACATTGGTATCAACACCAGTTTGGTATGGTTTGGAAGGTTGTCCTGTTCCCTTTTGTTTTGTAAGGTTTGTTAACTGAAAACATAGAAATGGATATTATTTTTTTCCTTTAAAGAATGAGCTTTAGTGCCTATTACTGCTGCAGGTTGGCTCTGTAAGTTTTAAGGTACAGAAGTAAAACAATTTTTACAAATGGAAGTAACATTTACTTAGTATGTTTCAAAACTTTTTTTTGTGTATATAATGTGTCTGATGTAATTTTTAATAACTGGGCAATTTTATATTTTAAAAATTGCAAACTGCAGCGAAGTAACAGTAGCCAAGCACTACACTGAAATCCTAAACTAAAATCGTGAAGATAAATATGACTTGGGCTTACTTTAGTTCTGATTGCTTACAGCAGCTTAGAAATGTATGTATATAATATTGTGGCTAAGTGTAATAATCTCAGTGTTTAATGATGATTCTGTAATTCATAACAAAGCTGTACAATTTATTTGTGCAAACAACATGAGGCTCCAAAATATGTATCAGCATTAGTAAATACTGTAGATTTTTATATATAAAATATATACACACTATTTTCTTATTTCATCTGCAACAGTTTTATAACTGTGTACCCTATTTTGATGTGACTGTATTTTTAACATGTTAAAATAATAATAATTAAGCTTATGTTGTTTTGTCTTTTTTTTTTTAAATTATTTTATTAGTTCCAAACTGGACTTTTGCTATTCTCRGAACAAATAATTGCTTTTCATAAATGAATCATGTGTATATATGATGCATCCTGTTCAATTTGTACATGTTTATTTTTAGACTAAGCAATGTGGATACAATCTATACAGYGCTTTTGCATTATTGCAGAAGCAGCAAGATTATTGATTATAGTTTATTACACTTCTAAACCTTAGCCTGTCATTTGCAAAAGCTAGGAGCRTAAACTGTGATCATAATTTTCTGGTTTTGTTTTAATAATCTCACCCAATACCAGAGGAATTTGCAAAGTTGCATTGATCGAAGTGCAAAATGATAGTCTGACGGTGGCTTCTGTCTCTCACATGTTTGGAGGATACTATTGAATTGGTTTTTCTTTAAAAAAACACACCAGCCTTTTGTCATCTGTTTGTAGTGAAAAATACATTTTTATCTTCCTTTAACTGGACAAACTGAACTAAAGGTACAGCCAGATTTGAGTCTGTCAGTTGAACCAATAACAAAACCCACTTGATGCAGAGTGAAGTGAGACACAGCTGTGCCAGTGCGTTCCTGGTGGAGGGAATCATCTCAGTGTCATGGGTTAGATATCYTCATAAGAGCTTTGCTGTCACTGTTTCTGTGACAGCACTGAAAAAAAATGGAGTGGTAAGTATCAACATGAAACTTGAGTCCTTTTTCTTCTTGTGGTTTCATAATTTTCCAAAATCTCTCTGCTATGAGCTTTGTAAAAACTATAGGTTTCTTTTCGAAGCTAGTTGTCACAGCTTTCCTTGTGGTTAGTGAGACAAATTCAGCATAGGGATTTGGAAAATTARCACAGCAGARCACAGAAGACTTAAGTAAGGAGACRTGTCTAACTTCTGTRTGGCAAAAATTTAGTGAAATTAAACCAATTAGGTTGTAAGAGGAAAAGGAAGGACCTTGAGTRTATGCTGTGGTCTGCTGTGGCTGCATTTCCTTTCCCTCGGATGCTGTGCTAGGTTAATGCTTTAGGGAAGGCAACACCTAAGAAGGAGAAAAGCTGTTTAGACAGAAGTCTGTTAAGGAGAGTATTTCCTCGTAATCCTGCTGATGACTACCTAAAGCCTTAAAGCATGATATTGTTTGCAGTTGTTTCARAATGATCAGACTTGTGAGGACAGTCCTGTTTTTCTCAAGGCTAAGATGTGTAAATGCCAGTTACCTGTGTAATATCTGTCAGCAGGATGAATCCCTTACATAAAGGTAACTGCTCTGTCCTCACTACCAGTAAAAGTTTCAAGACAAATAGCGAGAAATTTTTAGAAATCATGGAAGATGCAAAAGAGAAGCATCTTATTGGTAGCCAAAGATACACCATTGTAATAAACCACAGAATAATTCCAAAATTAGATGCAAACAGTAAACAACATTGAAATGTCAAAAGACAGAACAGCCTTCCAGTGTGGGGAAGCAAATCCAAAGCTTCCCTGAGGTACACRCACATTTTCCAGGGAGATTTCTCTCAAGAATCCTATCCCGAATTTCACATCATCCTCAATATGACTTTGAAATGGACTTGCAAATTGCAGACTTTTTTTTTTTAATCTTCCCCTTGGGTGGCATTACACTGCATGCACAAAGAAGAATACTATTTAAAATATGCCATCAAACGCCCACCGTTTCATTTCCAGCAGAGAACATTCCACTTTCAATACTTCAGTGAGTGGAAAATATAATCTTTTTTTGTAGTCCTTTAAATACTGCATTTTTGTAAAGTTCTGTAAATGTAGCATATTTGCAGTTTAACAGCTACTTAACCAAGTATTGTTCAGGCTCCTCTTTAGATGGCATGAAGCTACTGCATTATTTGCTGCAGTTTCTTTTTTCTTTTGGGCAATATTAAGACAATCCAAATGCTTTTAGTGGCAGAGTTGCAATGAGGAGATGACTGGGCCAACAATTGAAATTGGAAATATAATTGCAGTCATTTCAGAATAGCCTTTCAGTGGTTGCCAAATCCTGGGAAAGACACCATTTTCTGGGTTCTTTGTGCCAAGAGAACTTCTCACTGCAACAGGGAGCATGTAGGTCCCTCTCCTGAGTGATCTGATTCTCTCTGCTTACACCGACTGCTTTTCTTTGTGCTTATGGAGTTAATATGTTAGAAAATCAATGGTACCTTTAGAATGAATAATCAGAAAACAAAGATGTCTTGTTCTGACTTTTCTTCCCTTTTTTTGTTTGCTTGTTTTACTGATTTTGTTGTCAGCCTTGTCAAGGTGAGCTGTGCATGATGTGATTCTTCTGCCTTCTTTCTCTGATAATGTGCCAACATGTGTTTTTCAGAAGCTTTGTGATGCCTTTTTACTGCTGTTTCTGCTGTTTGTATCAGAGTTTATTGTTTACTTCTTCAGCTTTTCCTTTCTAGATTATGTGCAAATTAAGGAAAAAATTATATTCTCAGTATTGCAGTTGGTCAGATATTCTCAAGGAAGGTTTTTTCCTTGCAGAAAGCAATTTAATTTGGCCATGGGTGAAGGATGCTATAGGGTGGAGACTCTTGTGCAGTCTCTGCAACCCAAAGTCTGAGGTTGCTTCTTCTTGGGGTCAAGCATCGAAAGCCATCTTACACAGAGACAAGGAAGCATTGTTTTGCAAAATGCTATATCCTGTCACAGGAACATGCCAGTTTAGACTGGCAGCTCCCATGTATTTGATTTAAGTCAGTAACTCCTTGTTTCCTGATAATACATGATTTTTGCCAGATTTTTATGCTGGAATTGAGATGAGGCAAAGAATTGAAGCCTGTGTTGGGAACTAGGATCCCTGAGCTCCTCTCCTTGCTTGGGAGACCTGAAGTTGACTTTTGGTTCAAGCATAGTATTTGTAACTCCAACAGTATCTTTTAGAAAAACTTGTGCTATTGCCGCTTGGGAAAAAACAGATCTCCCCTTGTTTTTTTCAATAACCAAAAGTTTTTTAGATTACTTTGTCTGATATATGCTTTCTTTTTAAGCTTCCCTATTCCCATATTTTTTTCCCCAAAGAAAACTCACATCTAGGAATGATGCCATAAGTAGTAAGTGATCTGCAGTATTACCATCAGGTGGGTTGGATGGTATTTTCAGGCACGTTGGCACCCAGCTGTGAAAACTGGGTTTTTGCAATACAGGTGAGTGGAACAGTGTTATTGGTGGAAGGCTTCCCTTGAACCCAGCAGCAATG